GGGGGGAGGGCAAGTCAGACAGCAGCTGCACAGCTGGGAGGGGCAGCCGCCAGAGAAGGGGTCGGCTGCCAGAGAGAAGCTGTACGTAGGGCAGAAGCACTTCAGGGGAAGGCACGTTAGCAGCTCCCCAATCCCCTCCCCAGCCCTGGGAAGGGGGTGGGGGAGAGGAGGCTAGAGACAGGCTGGCGCTGTGGGCCCAACTGTTAAAAACAAAAACCACAAGCAGCCACCTCCAAATCCTGAGATTAAAGAGCGTTGTGATTTTTAGCCCAAGTAGCGCTGTATGGGGTCCCCTTCTGGGGGCGGCACCTTAAGGGGTTCACACTTCGCTGCAGCCACAAGAGCTGGAAACTTGCTTAAAACAAAATCAAAGCCAAAAATTCCCATTAGTCACCTGACTCCAGGAGCTGGGACTTTAAATCTCACAAGCGCTGGCTATGCTGTGATGCTGCAGCCAGATCCCTTGTGCAGAGGCCAATCAGCAGAATTTCTAAGGGGTGAAGGAGGGGCAGGTCCCCGCCCCCAGCTGGAAACGCAGTTTGCAGGAGAATTGCCAGTGGTGACACAGATCGGAACCCCCTGCACACAGCGCTGCTGTCCTTCAAACGTCGTCTCTTTACTCAGGATGGCACTCATTTAAAAAAGTGTTATTCACAGACAGATTGCACAACACGTGTTAAAACGTACAGGTTCTTGAGTGCCCCCTTCCCACAGTGCATGGGGCAGATCCAATTCGTGCCGCCCGCCCGGCAAGTCCTAGGATTAGACATGTGCAAAGACATGGGATTCCCCCCGCTGCCAGCAGGGGGGCGACGTTACACAGTGACGGGGGAAGGAAAGTCCGTGCAAAGTGGCGGGAGGGAGATGCAAAGGAACAGGCCGACCTGCTGCACGACCTCAGCACCGGCCCTGCCCCGGGTCCCAGCATCAGTTCCCTTCCTTTGGAGCATCCCAGGTATAAAGTGCAAGTGGCGCAGTCCCGGTTCCAAGTGCGAGCGCTCGGCTCAGTTGACGGTGCTGCTTCGACTCCTTTCCCCTGTGCTCCCAGCCTCGCCCGGCCCTGCCCCAGCCAGCGGCAGCACCGAGACGTCATCTGCAGCAGAGAGAAACAGCAGCAGGTTGGCCTTTGGGTTAACAGGTCCCCACGCCCTGAGGTGCCCCCTCCAGGCATGGGACATGGGGCAGAAAAGCACTAAGCAGCTGACTGACAGGACCCCAGTCTGCATCCCGTGGCCCCAAGCTTAGACTGGGCCTGCCCACTAGCGTCCACCTTAACCCAGGGGGCCCAGGGGCTTCCACCGGGGGCGGGGGGGATGACTAACAGGAGGCCACGTTTTCTCCAGAGCCGGAGCAGACATCCTGCCCCAGCCACCCTCCCTGCCAAGAAGCATGAAGCACTCTGGGCCTGCGGCATTTTATGCGGTTACAAGAATCCTACCCTCATTCCCTGCTCACTCTCAGGGCAGCGGGTGCACAAATCCCTTGGACAGTTTTGAAAGGTCTCAGCCCACATCTGCCAGCCCCGCTGGAGAGCACCCAGGCAAGGCCAGCTACACGCCAACTGAACCGTCCAGCACGGACCACAGCCACCTGGCGCCCAGCCCTGTGCTCTGACCACTAGCCCCGCTGCCTCCCACCAGGTCTTGGCCAAGAGGCACCAGCTTCACAGGAGCGAGGGCATGTCTACGCTGAAACGTTAACGAAGATGCTCCAAGCCGCCAGGAGAGAGCTCTCCCCCTGCCCCCGAGGGGTGGTAGCAGCTCTCCCATGGACAGCGCTGTCTACACGGGGGTTAGGTCGGTATAACTACCCTGCGTCGGGGGGGGGGGGGGGGCGGGAAACCAGACCTCAGAGAGCAGCAGGAGCAGAGGCTGGGCAGCGCCCCCAGTGTTCAGCTAAGGAGCTGCAGTGGCCCCCAAAATCCAGTGCCCCATAGTCACATTAGAGCTGCCACTGAGTCGGCAGGGTGAGGGAGGTGCGGGGTGGGGGTGGGGGAGCATCTGCTAACAGGCCTGGCCCCCCAGCTCAGCAGTGCCTCAGCTTAAGCCCTCTTCATTTCACCCCCAGTGGTTCTGTGTAAGTCACCATGTCAGAGGAGAGCGGGTTTTCTAGCTCATTTCAATGCCTCTCGTGCGGTTATCTGGCTCCCCTACAGCGCCTCCTGGTGGAAGTGGCTGGAACTGGAGTAGCTGTGAGCTTCCCCACAGCCAGCCTTGATACAGCCCCCCCTGCTGGGACTGGGGTAGCGGAGAATGACCCCCCACAGCCAGCAGGATCTGAAGACAGACGTGCCCCCGCCCCTCACAAACCAGCCCCCGCTCTGCTGCCAGCCCCTCGTCCGGGACACGGGACACAGGACTCACGGAATCGGACCCGGATTGGCCAGATCATAATGCAGCACAGACACATGATGGCGGCCACAGCGACGCCCCCGGTGACGACCACCATCACCCAGTGGTAGAACTCGACGCAGCCGGCGCAGCAGAGCTGGGTCCTGAAGGCAAAGGGACAAGTGAGGCTCCAGCAGGGACCCCGGCTCCCCCAGCCCCACGCACGCACCGGAGAGGGGACAGTCACTGCAGGGGGAAGGCAGGCTGGCAGCTGCCCCCAGTGGGGCTGGGAGGGGGCACGTGCTGGCTCTGGGGATGGCACAATGCAGTGGTAAGGCACCGCCAGAGTGTACCGCATCCCCCCGCTGGTTGGCCTAAGACAGGCAGCAGCTAGGGGAGCAACTCTTCAGCTCGAGCAGCGGGGGACTGTGCTGGGAGCTGGAAGGTCTTGGGGGTCTCCTATGGGGCGAGGGGAAGGGCTGGTAGATGCTCTGGACTGGGCGACTGGTTTGCTGCCAAAAGGGAACAGCGGTGCCTGCCGCAGGGGTCTTCTCCAGCAGCCCCAGGCCCGTGTCCCAGGCCAGCCACGACACTTACGGGCAGGGGTGCAGGTTCTGGATGGCCATCACCGCCACCCCGTTGGCCACTTTGTCCGTGAAGCTCATGGCCCCATAGACGAAAGCTCCGCTGTGCTGCAGGGAAACGAACAGCATCAGCCTCATTCCACACCCCAGGGCTCGACCCACCCACATCTCTGCCTCCTCTGGCATCTCCCGCAGCCGCCCTGGGCTCCCTGCAGACGCACGCTGGGACCCCCTAGTCCTCGCTCACCCAGCTCAGGGCGGGTGCAGCTCGGATCAGCCAGGTACAGAATCAGGGAGCCTCGTGCCCTCTTGTGGGCAAACTCGCTCCTGCAGCAGAAGCTAATTCCCGTCTGGTACCAGGGCCAGCGCCCCGTTCTGTACAGACCCCCGGGCTCTCTAAAGCCCCTTCAGAAACCCAGGAAGGGCGACGGCCCCACAAACCCAGAGAGCCTGGGACGCCCATGCTGGACCACGCTGTGCTGAAGGAAGGCAGCCCTGTTCAGTGACCCCTGCCGGGCCCGGCAAAGGGGAGGTCGTACCCACTGCTCTACCCCCAGGGGCACTAGCTGGGCAGCGGCTGCGCCCATCCTATCACTCGCCCCCGCAGGAACCTACCGTGTTGCTCCCAATGAGGTCAGCCGTCATGGAGAGGGATGTGACCAAGATGGTGGCCGAGCCAGCCCCGAGCAGCACAGCTGCTCCATAAACCTCCGCTCCCAGCCGGCTGTCCAGGGCCACCCAGGAGGCGAAGGCCAGGATAATGAGTAACCCCATGAAGTAGGTCAGCTGCTCGGAGGCGAAGGGCAGGGAGAGAAGAGGGCAGGGGAGAAACACTCATTAAACCCAGGACTCCCCAGAGCTGCAGTACATAGGTTCATGTATTGGAAGGATGCAGAGAAACTGGAAAGGATACAAAGGCGAGCGACAAGGACGATCAAAGGGCTGGAATGCAGCCAGACGAGCAAAGGCTGAAGGAAGGGGGTGGGTTAGTTTGGAAAAGAGGAGATTGAGGGGGGACATGGTAGCGGTCTTCAAATACTTAACAGGCTGCCATAAGAAAGATGGAGAAACATTCTTCTCTCTTGCCACACAGGGCAGGACAAGAGGCAGTGGGTTCCAACGACAGCGGAGCAGATTTAGATTCAATCTCAGTAAGAACAGTAGGACAACGGACCAGACCTGCCTCGGGAGTTGTGGAAGCCCCTTCACTGGAGGTTTTCGAAAGGAGGCTGGAGCCACCTGCCTTGGATGGTGCAGTCACAGCAAATCCTGCCTCTTGGCAGGGGTTAGACTAGGTCAGGGGCTCTCGACCTTTCCAGACGACTGCCCCCCTTGCAGGAGGCGGATGTCTCATGTACCCCCAAGTCTCACCGCACTTCAACACGACTTGCTCACAGAATCAGCCATAAAAATACGAGAGTCTCAGCCACACGGCTACTGGAAAACTGCCTCTTTTCTCGTTTTGTCTGTATGAAATGTTAGTTTGTACTGACTTGGCTGGTGCTTTTTCTGTAGCCTGGTGTAAAACTAGGCAAATCTCTGGCTGAGTTGATGTACGCCCTGGAAAACCCCTGCGTACCCCCATGGTTACATGTTGAGAACCCCTGGACTAGATGACCCTTGCGGTCCCTCCTAACCCCATGGCTCTATGATCACCCTCCAGCTCTATGCTAGGGGTCAGAAGCGCTGTTGGGGGTGGGGTGGGAGGCCAGGAGTGGAGGAGCAGGGGGCTGTGGGACAGATCAAGGTGTTTTGGCAGAGCTGCGTGGCCAGGTTCAGAGGCCGTTTGGGTACTTGGCTAAGGGGATCGTATTTTCAAGGTCAAAAGCCAGGATAGTTCTGCCGTAATTGTTAGTGCCACGAAATTCCGGCACAGGACACCATTGGTTCTGAACGCGCCCTGGTTTCCCTTGTTCTTGCATCCGGAAGGGTAAATAAGAGTATTCCCGGACTTCCGGAAAGGCGTTCAGAGACGGGCAGAAGTGGGGCGACCAGAACCGAGCAGCGGGCACCCCAACAGGTCACAGTGACATGACCCTGTTCGTAGTGCAGCAGCACCTCCTGCCCCCCAGTTCGACAGGGAGGCAGAGGGCAGTGCTGATGCGAAGAGGACAGCCAGGGAGGGAGAGTTGATATTTAAGCTAAAACTTCATCTCTTATTAGTGGGTTAATTCCTTGCCTGTGGGTGGTTGTGGCAGGCCTAGAACAGGGCTGGGGTCCGTGCACGGAGCTGTGTGGGGAGCAGGAGAGGTGGCCAGACAAGGGAGGGCAAGCAGTTTAGACGGGACATTGGAGAGGGTGGGGAATTTACACCATCGGGGGCTGATTTTCTGGAGAGCGGAGCGTGCAACTCAATCTGGGATCCGTGGGAGCTGCAAGTTCAGGATCAGGCCCCACTCCTCTGGGACTCTGACCCCTGCTCTGCACGGCCCAATAGCTGGTTGGATTTGGATGCCGACGGTGCACCGAGCAGCCCCTTCCAAGGAGCTGAGCTCACCCCCCCGTGACAGACTGCACCCCATAATCCCCTCAAATGCACAGCAGAGTCACCACGCAGGAAGGGGAGACCAAGGAAGGTCAAGCGCTACCAGCCTTTCCTGTGGACTCTGTCTCCTGAATCTTAGCTGGAAACGTTTTCCAAGGGGGGGTCTGAGGCTATCAAAGGAGGGACAAGCCCCCCACAGCCTCCCTCCCCATCGATTCGCTGCACCAGAAGGAACAAAGGAAGCAGCCAGTGAACAGAAGACGGGCTCCTGGCCCGAGGAGTTTGACCAGGAAGGCTGTTGAGAGCACGTGGGGAGAAAGACTTTGCCTGGCGTTTAGCCTAGTTTGGTAAGCGTAGCTGGTGCCTTGCTTCGGCTTTGTTTTCCTTGTAACCATTTCTGGCTTTTCGTACTCGCTGACAGTCTCGCGGTCGGTAACAAACGGGGGGTGTTGCTTTAGCTAATAGAGCGTGTTTGAGCAGACGTGGCTGGGAAACTCCACTTGGGGGAAGTTATGGGCTAGCGTTTCTAGTCATAAAGCGACAGGCTCTAGATAAGTTTGTGTTGTCCGGGGCGGGCGGGGCAGCACCGGACACGCCCTGCTGGGGGGAAGCTGGGGCCGGCAGCGTGTGGTGCTCCCAGGCTGGGGAGAGCCAAGGCATGGCCGGCCGCAGCACACAGACGGGGCTGGGAGGGACTCGCGTGCTGGCGGCTACAGCAGCAAAGCACGTAAAGGGTAGGGGTGCCACCAGGGTAGAGGGCACATCACACCCACCCAGCATGAGCCCACTCCTGCCGACGGGCATCTCCCCGCAGGCCCAGACGTGCGCGGTTACAGCGGGACGCTGTCCCCCTTCCCCCCGCAAGCTACTCACGTTTCGGCCGATCCACCTGTTGACGGGCTTCATGAGGAAGGAGGAGAGGAAGCCGCTGATGTACATCACCAGGGGGATGGTGGCGATGAATTTCTGGGGAGGAGAGAGACAGAGCAGAGTGCTTGGCTCACAGACGTCCCAAGGGTCTGTGCCCCCCCTCACATACACTGCTGGGATCCCCTGCCCTATTCTGCCTTCCACCAGCCACCCAGGGGGTTCCCCACCTATAACCCAGCCCTTCCAGCAACACAGGGACCCCCCCATGGGCATCGCAGGATTGTCCTGGTCGAGCCGGTGCCTGGTGTGAAGTGACGCCCAGTGCTGGGCTGGACCTGCCCACTGGCGCCCTCTGCTGCTCACTCACCTTGGGCAGCATCAGCGAGTTGGTCAGGTACATGGCGATGTAGGTCTGGGACAGGTTGACAATCAGCCGCGTGGCCATGTACAGCATCGCCACCTAGAGGGAGACACACCAGCCATTACGCCAGCCACGCCCCTGCCCTCCAGCCCAGCTCTGAGTGGTTTGTGCTGGAAGGAACGGAGACCCTGAGGCTCATGGCCCATGTCTCCCCCAGGCGGGCAGAGGACCAGGGCCATCGCAGCCACAGGACGCAGAGCCAAGGAGCCAGCACAGGCCAGTCCTGCAGGCCCCTGTAGAAAGCTGTGGGGCAGAAGACAGAGGTTCCTGTACCAAAGGGGGCTTCTCTCCTACCGCACAAGTGTCCCTCCCCCAATAACGAGCCCCTTTGAATCTAGAGTCATTACCTGCCTCGCTGGGGTGCCCACAGGCCTGGCCGGCTGGGCGCAGTGACACGTGGCCAGGTCTGAGCGTCCTGAGTGGGGCATCTCTCCCCCCTCAGGTCACCCGTGCTGCTGCTCGAACCCTCCAGCACCCCTTCCCCTTGGCACCCACTAGGGAGGCAGTGCTACTCCTGCCTTGGCCTGAGGGGGCGCTGTTGAGCCACCCAAAGCTCTGCTTCTCCCCAGCCCCAGAGGGCGACAGTCCAGGCCCAGCAACACGCCCTGGGTGCCACACAGCTGTGCAAAGCCCCAGAGAGCCGCAGGGGCAGACAGCTGCTGGCCACACTCCCGCGCTCTCCCCGGCAGGTCCCGGAGGGGCGGGCAGCCCGTCACCGGACGCTCCTGACCCAGCACCAGGTGCTGAGCCGCGGGGACAATGCAGGGGCCGGTGCTCAGTAGCTATTTGGGGGCTCCTGTGTCCGGGGGGGGAGGTTGGGGAGGGCGGCCATGGCAAAAGCCACCAGCACTGCTGGCATGACTGGGAGGCCAAGCCTGGAGACTGGCCTCCCGTCCCAGCAGGGCACGGCCAAGGCAGGGGTCCGAGGGTGCACGGCTGGGGGCATCAGGCGCCTGCCTGTGCCGCACCTGTCCTGTGGATACAGAGATCCAGCTGCCAGGCCTGCCACACAGCTATGCCCATCTCTTGCGAGGCCCCCCGCTCCCCACACACCTGTCCCCCTCACCGGGCACACCCCGTACCTGGTAGAAGGCAGGCTCCTGCAGCCAGTGTTTCCACAGTAGCAGTGGGCGCGGGGGGATTTTGTGCCCCTTCTGCAGCAGCGGCGTGTGCTCCTCGGGCTCGAGCAGCCTGGCCTGGGGGTGGCGCCGCTCCTTGGTGCCCAGGTGGAACAGGAGTGAGAACACAGCGCCCACCGCCACCACGATCAGGGACAGGTTCTGATGGGACAGGAAGGAGACTCAGCAAATCCTCAGGAAGCCGGGGGGGTAGGGGTGGTCGGGGGGCACTTGGAGAGGGGCAGGCCGGTTTGATCCCAGTCTCTGCCGAGAGACCCACAACTGCCCCATAAGCCCTGCGCTGCCTCACAGCTTCTCCCCCATCACAGCTGCGCTGCCCGGGACTTGGCCCCGCCGCACTCACCCGGAAGATATGGATGTCAGGCTTGCCCAGCTGCTCCGTCGGCCCCGAGTGTCTGAGCTGGAAGTGCAGGAGCAGCCAGGCCACGCCGTACACGGTGATGTTGGCCGCGACGGTGAAGGCGTACCTGGGGGAGAGGAGGCAGCGAGTCACGGGGCGCTCCCAGCCCGAGTGCCCACGTGCGCGAGAGGGAGGGGGAAACACTGCATGGTGGTGCAGAACAAGATCTGGAGCCTGAGCCGGTCACATCCCCCTCACATTCCACAGCCAGCGTCAGGCACGTCCGCAGCACAAACCCGCCCTTGGGGAGGGGAGCGGGGGGGAAGGAGAACTGAGTGTGAACACTCCCGCGGGGGTAAATTTGCACAGACAAGCAGTGCTGCCCCCTGCTGGAGGGAGCCAAACTGGCCGGTGCAGTTGGGATTATGCTGCAGAGAACAGAATCCCCAAACAGCCGGAGGCGCTCCTGGGACGCAGACCCCAGTGGTGACGCTGGGCAGGGCATGCCAGGAGCTAGACCCCGCACAGGGTCCCTGTCCAGCAGCCGTGGTCCCAACCCCCCTTTAGATCCATGACAGCTGAGCCCAGGCTCTCCTCTGCCCCACGGGACCGCCCAGCCCTGCCCCGGTGCGTGGTTTAACAGGCGACCCTGGGGGCTGTCCTGCAGCAGGGAGTTGTGAGGCTGCACGGGACAGACGGTTTGACGGACGGCAGCTTCTCAGAGAGGCAGTGAAGCCTCCCGCAGCCCCAGCGTGGCTCCACATCCTTCCTGTGGAGAGTTATCTGCTGGGTGCAGACCCAGTGCGGAGGGGACTTCCGCCCGCTGATGGCAGATAACCGGGCCTGTTTGCCGCTCGCCTGCTGATAAGAGACGCTTCCCCACATGCTGACTCAGCACCGCGCAGGCTGGAGGGGCCCGTAACGCTCCACCTGTGAAGCCATGGGGCCATTTCCCCCCCTCCGGGGTTTGCTGGGGGGGCAGCTCCAGGCCCTGTTCACCTGCACAGCCACTCGCTGGTGCATGATGTGAGCAACTGACTCTTCTCGGCGAGTACAGCCCCCCGCCCCTCCAGCTAGAATCACAACCAGGACCCCAGACCCAGCCATCCCCACGCTCCTCCGCCAGCCCCTCTAGCCAGGCCAGGGGGGTGGGGGGGATTTGACAGGTGCCTCGGTGTTTGAAACGGAGCCATCCGTCCCGCCGTCCTCTCCTGCAGCTGCCAGCCGGGGTGTGTGTGTGTGTGGGGGGGTTGTTTACGTGCCTGTCGCTGTGGACGCCCTCCGGATATGGGTTTGTGCAGGTGCTCAGGGGCTTCTCTACACCAAGCGGAGACCATGGACACGGCTACAAGCGGCACGTAGGCTCCTTGGGCCTGGCAGGGGGCAGGAGCTTGGCCCCCGGTGCACCCCAGCACTGTTCAGAGGCCGGACGCAGCCCTTGGCCTCGCTCAGGAGACGAGTCCCTGGGGGGGGCGGGGGGGTCTCACAGTCCCAGTGAGCAGCAGGATCCAGGCTCAGGAGAGGGGGGGTGCACGTGCCGGGGGTGGGGTGCCTACAGAGAGGTAGCGACCACCCTGGTCCCTATGCAGCCAGGCAGGCGCGCAGTGCAACATGCCAGCGAGTGGCACCCCCAGCCGGGCCATTCACACGGCACAGCTGTCTGCAGAGATCTCGGGTCCTCACACGCAGCTCTCCAAGGGAGGCTCCAGGACCCACACCTCCACCCAGGCTTCGCCGCACGGCTACCTCGGGGCGGGGTGTGTATGTGCCCCATCTGCTCTGGCTGCTGAGTTCAGACACGCTCCCCCCTACGCTATTCGAGCGGTGCTGGTAACAGAGGGGGCGGTCGGAAAGTCACCCACACTAAGTGGGGAGAACAGCCCACTACTGGCTCACAGCTGATGGTGCTGCGCCTTTAGCTGCAGGAGAAGCAGCCTGTGCTGTTGTCACCAAGCCCCCGGTTCGAGGCCTGCCAGCACCCGTGGCTGGTTACCTGAGTGCTGTGAGCTCCACTTTCTCGTGGTCGGTGGTCACCAGCTCAGGGATGAGTGACAGGTGGGAGATCTGGGTGGCTGCCCAGCCGAACTGGAAGATGACTATGAAGGGGATGAAGTAGATGAACGCGACCCACTGGGGCGTGGCCTCCGTGCAGCCCAGGCAGGGATTGAATATGAAGGGGAAGGACAGCAGGACGCAGACAGTCCCTGGGGAGGCAAGAGACAGGAGTTAGCACTGGGCCCGGCTGGACACGAGGCCAGGAGCTGGGGGGAGGTGAGGGGAGAGACACCAGTCCCAAGTTTCTTGGGCACCCCACGGCGCACAGCAGGGATCTATGCCATGGGCAGCATGTCTGCAATGCACTGGCCTGTGAAGCCAACTCCTCTCGTCTTCTCGCTCCTGCTCCGTGGGTACTCGGAGCCGGCAGCCCTCTGCCCGGGCAGCCAGCAAGTCCCTCTCCCTGGGGACTCCCAAGCTTACTCTGGTGGGGCTCCTGTCTCCGGCCAGGCTGCCTCGGGGGTGCCCGCCCGGCCTCCTGCTACCACAGCAGCTACTCGCAGGCCAGAGCCAAGCGCCTAGTCCAAATTACTGAAACTCAGCAGCTGGAAGCTCGCACAGTCAGCACTGCCGGCCAGTTCTGCACCGGGATGCTGTCCAGCCCCAGCAAGGTTCATTGTTATGCCCATTGTTATGCCCTTCAACCCGGGGGGGGGGGGGGAGGGAGAGGGCAGAGCCACGCCCAGCCCCAGAGTCAGACAGTCTGTGTAGGACCCAGGAGCTACGATGCCAGGCCCTGATCCAAACACGGGACCGTGCTCCTTAGGGCGCAGGCACAGTGAGCCGCCGACGCCGGAACAACGCAGATCTCGGCCAGAGACTTGCCCTGAGGACTGAGGAGCCAGCCCCATGGCTGGAGAGCGCTGGACTCTGCCCCATAGAGCTGGGCAGCCCTAGAGCAGTGTCTGGTCCTCGCAATGCTGCCCGGGCCAGCGAGGGCTCAGGGAGATTCTCCAATCCGGAGAGTTGGCAGAGCCAGCCGCCGAGGGCAGGGGAAAAGCGTCCAGGAGAGCCGGTCTACAACCCAACGCAGCTCCGCCCGCCGCCTGGCTCCAATCCAAGCAAGCGCCGTTACCCCAGCGGCATGGGTCACACGAGGGGGCACCGACGCGGCCCCACCTGGGTCTAGTGAGGCGAGACTGGTGCTTAGCCCAGACGTCTGCTGTCTGCACACCTGAGCCCCGGATTGCTCGGGGCTTTGCCATTCCTAGCACAACGCGACAGCTGAACGTTCGTCGCTGAACAGACCCACTGGCTGGTTATTCCCCTGCCCCGCAGGGCGCTGGCTCCAGCCCGTCCTTCACAGGCACTGCACTAGAGGGGATTTTGGAGAACGCCCCCCATCCCCTCGGGAAGGCCTGTGGCCTTCACTGGCCAGAGAAGCCCACAAGGTTTGGGGTCTGACCCCTCAGCATCTGGTGGTAGTTGAGGGCTGGTCACCCATCAACCCAGTCCTGCTCATCCCCCTGTGACTCGCCCCCGCCCCCCCCCCCGCATGCCCCAGCCCACCCCCCCAGAGCAGGCTTTGCTACCGGTGAGCAGCCAGCGATAGGAGGGACAAGGGCACATACACCATCCCCAGGAGACGGCAAAGGGTGAGAAAGGGCTGGCCAGGAGAGACAGCACAGTGTGGCTAACGGGCCATTTCCTTCCACTGCTGGAGCGGGCCGAGAGCCTCCATCCCTTGGCCGGAGGAAAACGACCATGCTGAGAACAGGGAAGCCAGAAGGCAGCACAAGATCATTGTGCATTCGCCGGGGGCCCAAGATCAGCGCATCAGAGGCACAGATGGCCCAGCAGGCCTAGGAACCTCATCGCGAGTCTGCACGCCGGCCCCCCGCGTCCCAGCCCAGCCCAGCGTCGCCGTTCTGCCCAGCTGCTTTCTCCACACCCCGCGGTGGTTTCAGTTTCCTAAAAAGCCCAGCAGGGCCAGAAACCAATTCCAGGTGGAGTCAGAGCGAAACCAGAGACGCTCCCTGCAGCTCCTGTTCCCCCTCTCCGTCGGCGTACGCATCAGAGCCAAAAGTGCCCTCCAGCTTCAAGTCCCTAGCACTGGGCCGCAGCCCTTCACGCGTGGCCTGCTGCCTAACACGCATCCCGGAGCGCGCAGAGACGCTCCTTCCCAGCCACGGAAACCAGCTATGTCACTCGCGGGCACCGCAGCTGGTGCAATCTCTTCCGCTATCAGCATGGGTCTGCCCCAGATAAGGGGCAGATAAGGGCCCTGTTGCGCCAGGCGCTGCAGACCCTTGGCGCAAGTCCCTGCCCTGCAGGCCCAACAATCTCAGGCCTTGTCTAAACAGGAAAGTGGCACCAGTTCAGGCTACCAGTGTGAATCTGAACCCACTCAGGGCTTGTCTACACATGAAAACTAATCCAGATTAAGGCAGGATAGGAATGGAAAGCAGATTAGCCATTCCTGATTAATGCCACGTGTAGACAAACCCTTAGACCAGTGGTTCCCAAACTGGGGTTCGCGAAATGTTACGGGGGTTCTCGGAAAAAAATTCTCTAATGGCGGACAGAGCTGTCCCTAGGGACCCCGGGCAGCACGGGACGAGCAGCCCGGAGCCCCTGGACTTCCAAGAGCTAAGCAGATCTATCACATTGAGAAGATTTAAACGTCAAGACTCTTTATAAGAAATGGAAAGGGAGGGGGATATTTTTTGCTGTTTTTAAAATTAAATAGGCAGCTAGTATTGTTTTTAAAAGGATTATGAAGAACAACTCTAAGCTTTGTTGTAACGTGCATTGTTTGCTTGAACTGCTCAAGACCCGAATGCTTGTATAAGAGGAACGCTTTGAGTTGGCTTCTTAGATACCTTGATGCTGTTTCACATCTGATACTCCTTGATGAAACATAGGCGCCTTGTCTTATAACAGGTTTATTCAAAGTGATACAAGCTACAAAAGCGAGATCTTGGAAGAGTGTTGCCATTTTCATAATGTAACAAAAGTACTGTAATGATAAATAATTAATAATAGTGTGTAATAAGCGTGTCATAAAAACAAATTTTATATTTCCAAGATCACTGCTTTTATAATTTATACTCCGGTAAAGAAGAAAATCCCTGGAAAGATTCTTTTTTAGGAGGGAGTTCACGAGACTTGACATTTTGGTGAAAGGGGTTCACAGGCTGTTAAAGTTTGGGGACCACTGCCTTAGACCCTATAGCTGAAACTTAGGTCAACCCAACTAAGACACTCAGGGGTGTGAAAATCCCACCCGAGGTGTCGTTAAACTGAACTAAGACCTGGTGTCGGTCCAGCTGCCGCCTCGAGGGGGTGGATCGACTACTGCATCGAAACCCCCTTCTGCCGCTGTAGCACGTCTACACTACAGTGGCCGAGCTGCAGCGCCCAGCTGTGCAGCTGAAACACTGTAGTGTTGGCACATGCTAAGTCAGTGCAGCGCATGTCCACCCCCACCCCCGTGGGGATGCTCGTCAGCGCAAGGGGAGCTCGTTTCACTTTAACATAAACCTGTTCAACTCGGAGATATTTTCCTTTAGCCTCTTACACCGGAGCCAGGGCATCCACACTGGGGCTGGGGGGTTAATTTCCCCTTAAATTAAACCAGATCAGCTCTCATACACACGAGCCCCAAGACAAAGGGCTCCCTAGGGAGGTGGTGGAATCTCCGTCCTTAGAGGTTTTTAAGGCCCAGCTTGACAAAGCCCTGGCTGGGATGATTTAGTTGGGGATTGGTCCTGCTTTGAGCAGGGGGTTGGACTAGATGACCTCCTGAGGTCCCTTCCAACCCTGATATTCTAGGATTTTTAAGGGAACACTTCCCCCCCCCTTGTAAAATGGGGAACCGAGGCTCAGTGAGGACGAAAATGACTCAGGAAGGGGGGGGGGGCAGAGTTGGGGAATCCACCCAAATCTCATGAGTCCCAGTTCAACTCTTTAACCATGAGATCCTCTCCCCTCCATGGCATCACCTATTCCCCCATCACCCCGGATGGCACAGTTCCCCCCCAGAACTGACTCATTAACTGGAAGAGGAATCCACTTGCGATGGGGGGGAGGGGGAGAAATCACTCGTATTTTGCAACCAATATCATGATCCCATAGTTAGTGCCGTGCTAGACTTGTTTTTCCCTCGCTCCTTGCAGGCCTGGTCCGCTTTAGACAAGTTACCTGCTGCCAACAACAGGTTCAGTGCAGCTGGCGCTAGGCGTGGCCTCTTAACATGGTCTGGAAGCACATTTCCCTGCAACCGTCGTTGCCAATGGGCAGATTTCCTAGCCTAAGCCAGACCCCTGCCCCCCATACATTTACCCATCTGTGATCAGCTCCACGCTACGCGCCTCGGCTGTCCATCCCGGAGCACACAGAGATCAGTCTTTGTGGAATTGGTAGGAAGTTGGCCTCAGGACAGGACCCACAAGCTTTGAGTGGATTTTGATACGCCTTTCACAACAGATTAGCTCTGCCCAAGCTTGAAAGCATCCCCTTATTCCAGGATCAAAAGCCTGAACTCAAAGACCAAGATTGGGGCCGTACACTGCCCTCGAGTGGGGACATCAATGGGGGTTGTGTCTCAATGCAGCCCCCAGTGCTGGGCAGAACTGCAATGGCACGAAAGGATTCAGGCCCACCGTGCTTTTCATCTGGGCCATCGGCAGCTCCTGGACTCCTGCAGCTCAAGCCAGCAGCCCCAGGAAGGTCTGTTCCCCAACGTGTCCTCATGACAGGTTCACGTGAATAACGGCCTTGCACAAGACACAAGATGAAAGAGGTTCCTGTCATCTGGAGATAAAAGGGCTCTCAGAAGGTTTCATCAGACAGTTCGCGGCTGAGGGTTGTCTGCAATTCACAAGGGTTTAATTTAGAGATGGGCCCAAACCTAAACCATGTTTGGGGGCAGTTGAGATGACAGGGCTCAAGCCCCCAGTTCTGCTCCATGTCAGTAGCCAGATGCTACATAGGGCGGGGCACAGGGATGCGCAGCAAGTGCTTCGCATGGGTCAAATTCTCCATTAATAGCAGCCAAGGAGGTTTGGTTGCGCAGTTACCTCCTGCCACCTCTTCCAGGGGCTGATCCAAAACCCACCGAGTCCACAGGAGTCCTCACACTGGCCTCTGGATCGGGCTGCAGAGCCTCAGGTACTCCGGAGGGGGGGGGGGGCGAGTTTCCACACTG